CCTTCCCCTTTCTCCTTCCCATCCCTTCCTCCTTTTCCTTTTCTCTTTCCTCTTCTTCCCTTCTCTTACTTCTCCCTCCCCTTTTCTCCTTCCCATTTACCTTCCTTTCTCCTTCTTTTTCCTTTCTCCTTCCCTTCCCCTCTCTTCCTTCTTCCTTTCCCCTTCCCTTCCCATCCCTTCCTCCTTTTGCCTTCTCTCTTCCCTGTAGAGCTTCAACCGTTTTCACCTAGAACTTCACATCACGTGTCCCATTCTATTTTTCCACAGAGAACTATATGTCCATGTTGTTAGAACAACCTCATGGATACCTTTACTGAAGAGGGAGGTAGAACAATGGTTATTTTGCACATTTTCCTCCCCCTACCAGGTAGTCATTTTGAGGATCTCATTATGCTTGATGGGGTTACAAATTATATTTTTAGCTGAGGGATCCTTGGCGCTCTCTAACCTGGCTTTTCTTGCAAACGTTTCATTATCCAAACCAGGTAACATATTTTTTAGCATTTTGGAGATACTTTTCACCGAAGAAGCCATATTCCCTCTAGTGGAGAAATAAAGCAGGTGAGCACATCTGCAGAAGGTGGCTTTAACCTTCGGTATTCCTTATCTTTCAGCCCCCGGACGATTCCCTCCTTCCAACTTTTGAAGCATCTCTGACATTTAAAAGGTCTCCAGTTATGAGTGGGCCACCTTTAAATGTCTCAGTGGAAGTGAGGCATTAGTTAGCAATCTACCAAATCTTTATTATGGGTCATAGAACCAGCATTTTATATTTTTGTACTAGCTCGATACCCGTGTTTCACTACGAAACTATGAGGCCAGGCTTAGTTTTGGGGGAGGAAAATAAGAGGGGGAATAATTCTGCCTCTGCCTACCAGCATCCATCAGTATTCATATGGCTAGCGTCCTGTCAGTGTGAGTTGAGGGCTGTTTGGAAACTGAAACAGTATTTGCTGTGTGAGCAAGGAGACAGCAAGGAGCCTGGGCGTGGCTTAGCTCAACTGTTCTGTACTAAAGCTGCTTGCTTCTGTGAAACTAAGGCTAAAACTGAAACTCCTCTCCTCCGCTTGTTTTGCATTTGGAAGAGATTTCTTCTTTCCAGGTGGGGAGAGGGAGTAGAACTCCTTAGCATCAGAGCGTGTTAATAATAATATAGGAAATACTTCATGCTCTGATGGTCATTTCAAAAAATCCTTTCTTAGTGAGCCCCTAGAAGCCAAGAGGAACATAGGTGCCAAATTTCAAGTTTGTAGGCTTTACGGTTCTGGAGATTTTGTGATGATGCGTGAGTGGTATTTTGCTTTTATACCGATAGATATATAGGTTGTAAAATGGGGCTAAATTCACTTAGCAACTGTCTTGCTTAGCAGTGGAAATGCTGGGCTTGTAGGTTGAGCAGCACCTGTATATTAAAACAGATTAAATTGGTTACTGTTATTCTGAATACTTTGACTGTAATGTAGAGGTGGACTTTAAAATATGATCTGTCTTATATTCGGCTGGTATAAACATCCAACGCCAGCAGCAAGTGTACAAAATAATTTATTACAGCATTACATTGTTGAGCTTTTTACAGTAAAGTTTTCATTCAACTAGCGCTCCTAAGCGAATGACGAAGGAGATCTGTCTTCATGACGTCTTGGTAAAACTTCTCTTTGTAAATTTTGCATAGGACCATCTTAAATATTTACATTATTCAAAAAAAGTTGAAAACAAACTGGTTCCATTGTGGGGGTTTTTTTTAAACAAAGTTTTTTTTTTTTTTTATACAAGCCACAGTGAATTTTCTTTTTACATTTTCAGGAATAGTTATTTATGTCCTGAAAGGGGGGGGGGGACGACATTTAAAACTGAATCAAAATGTTGATATGTTATACGTGAAGTGCAGGTACGTCAACTTATAAAAATTAAACAGGGGAAGAAAGGATGAAATGCAATGTATAATTAAACGAAGTTGTGCTTTAAAGAAAAAATAACCTTATTTAACGTTAACAACTTCACAGCATGTGATAGAACATTATTTTCCCCCCGACTATTGGTTTCCTGATTCATTTCTCGAACATTTTAATGTAGCTCACCATTATTATTATCATTATTATTATTATGACCGCATTCTCCATTAATTTCCTCCCTTCTGTTTTGGAAGGGAAATGTTTTTAAAATTCCTAAGTAATAAAAAAGGTAACTTAATCGTCATAATGGCAACTTAATGGTATTAAGGGTTTAATGGATCATTGAAAAGAATCATTACGAAACAAAATAATTTACAAGTTTTAAAAACGACATTCTCCACTGTATAAATCCGAATGCATCTTTCCGATGAATCAGAATTTCCATACAATACTAGGAAACTGACAAAACTAGCCTGGTACCCATCAGGAGCCATGCTTTGAAAGAAATGGAAAATAATATGGGTAGCTCAGGGTTGTAATGACCGAGTCCTCGGTGCTCTCTGAGGTTGGTGGTTTTCTTGCAGACGTTTCGTGACCCAACTAGGTGATGTCATCAGTGCCAGAAGGGAGCGGGGTTTTTGCCCCGCGTTTGTTACCTAGTTGGGCAATGAAACCATCCAGCTCAGGGAGCACCAAGGACCCCCATGGAAACATAAAACCGATGAAAAACACGTGTGGAGGATATATTTATCCTGGTTTGTTAACGTTCACAGGCAGGACTCTCCGTGGAGGGCGAGAGAGTCAAGATGGCGGCCTCTTCTCAGATTCTCCAATCCAACACGTTTTGGAAGAAATGGTCTTATTTATTGACATACTCAATGGAATCGATTGACATACTCAATGGGTCATCGATTCAGAATAGAAAGATTTATAGCTGTACAAAGTATAAACAGGGCCAGTATTATGCAAAAAAAAAAAAAAAGGCTGTTAATATTGTCAGCTCTTCCTGAGGGGAAAAAAAAGGAGCAGATTTGCCTCCAGTTTCCCGGATTGGACAGCTGAGTAGGTTCCGAAGAGATCCGGCTGGGAGATCCCAAAAGATCCCTTGGAGGAGCAAGCCCCGCCTTCTGCTTCAAATCTCATTGGTCAGCACTTCATGATTGATGGCCATGTGGTTCATGGGGGCAAAGCAACTGTCCTCGTCGCTGCTGGGAGACATGAAGGCTGTCGCTAAAGGGAACATTTTGTGGCACGCGGTCCGATACGCCTCACTCTGGCTGTGGCATTCGCCGAAGGTGCCGTCACGCAAGAAATCCAACACCATCGTTAAAATCTGCAGATTGAACACATGAGCCGACGCGTCAGAAGCAGAATTCCTCCTCAGGTTTAGGACAGGTTAAGTCCTCGACTTACGACCGTTCGTTTAGTGACCGTCCGAAGTCACCGTGGCACTGAAAGAAGTGACTTAGGACCGTTTTTCACACTTAACGACTGTGGTGCCACCCCCCCCCCATCCTCAGGTGATAAAAATTCAGAAGCTTGGCAACTGACTTGTCATTCACTTAACAACCGTGACAAGAAAGGTTGCAAAATGGGGGGAGGGGAACTCACGCCTCGCTTAGTAACACAAATTTCGGGCTCCGTTGCGGTTGTAAGTCGAGGACGACCTGTATCTATGAAGGGAATTGTAAGATCCAAAATGGAAACTGTCTAAACGGAGATATAAGATTATTTGTCAATCGTTTTTTTTCTTTCTTCAGCTTTGTGAGAAGAAAATGCCGAGGGACAAATATGACGAAAAAAGGCGTGGTCGTAAGTCAAGGACTACCTTGTAGAGGAGATGACCAGGCTGAGCCTGAGGGAGGGGTCAAATACGTCATAAGTCACGAATCTCCGCGTGGCCGCAAGAGATCTAACTCCAGCCCACCTTGAATTCCTTTCTTATCTCCCGCTCATTTTCCTTTGACTTATTAGTTGGCCAGTTTCTTGTAGAGAGCTTGAACTTGCAATCAATCTTTATACTCATACTAGCAAAATACCCGTGCTTCGCTACAAAACTATGTGATTTTGGGGCGGCAAATAAACGGGGAAAATGTGCCTCTGCCTACCAGCATCCATCGGTATTCATCTGGCTAGCATCTTGTCAATGTGTGAGAGTTGAGGGCTATTTGGAAACTGAAATAGTATTTGCTGGGTGAACAAGGAGACAGCAAGGAGCCTGGGCGTGGCTTAGCTCAACTGTTGAGCTAAAGCTGCTTGGTCCTCTGAAACTGAAACTCCTCTGCTTGTGTTTTGCCTTTGGAAGAGATTTCTTCTTTTCAGGTGGGGAGGGGGAGTAGAACTCCTTAGCATCAGAGCGTGTTAATAATAATAATATAGGAAATACTAATGCTCTGATGGCCATTTCAAAAAAATCCTTTCTTAGTGAGCACCTAGAAGCCAAGAGGAACATATGTGCCAAATTTCAAGTTTGTAGGCTTTACAGTTCTGGAGATTTTGTGATGATGCCTGAGTGGTATTTCGCTTTTATATATATAGATTTGATCTGCCTGGATTTCATTTTCCTGGTCCCTGAGATTTACTTTTCATCTATAAAATTATCCTGGACATGGAAGTTTGTCCCTACCACCCGAGAGGTCCTTCCTCCAAGCCATCATCAAACATGCATTAAAAGGATGTGCTATTTGGGATCCCCCAGCGATGAAAAAAAAAAAGTTATTTTTACCTTCACGTTTCTGTCCCTCATGACTTCGTCGAGCCTAGTAGCCATAGCGATTGCCTTCTCCTGCCTTGAATTATCCAGGAAATACATCATTTTGGCACCTCCAAGAGGAAAAATAAAAGCAGCTTGTTAAAAGAAAAAGATGTTAAGGTTTATAGGAAGAAAAACCCAGGTTTTTTTTAGCTGCTACTGAAGCCCATTATACTTTATATTAATCCATTTGAAACAATCACGCAGAGGAGTATATTAAGATTTTTAAAAAATGGAAGACGTTCGATCTTATCTATTCTGCATTACAGGAATATATTTATTTGCCAGATTTTATTATCACCGTTCTGAAATACGAGCGTCAGATATTTTTATTATGTGGAAAAAGATCTTCCCTCCGATGGCATTATTGACCGATCTGTTCATCTTCTTTTAATGACCCCATAATCCCTTGAAGGGTGTGTGGGGTGGAGTCTGGGCAACTCAATGGAACTAGACGAGTGTTTTACTGGCCGGATGCCCTTCCTGTCGGCAGGGCGGAGTTTTGTTCGGCAGATATATTCTCATCGTGCCAGAGAAGAGAAATATCTGCCTCTACCTGGGATTCGAACTCACAGCCTCCTGATTGTGAACCTTTAGGCCACCGCACCATTCATATTATTGACCGAACTTTTTTGTGTGTATTTTTTTTTAACAACAAAACATAAACAAACATAAACATAAAACAACAAATAAAACCTTCTTTCAACTGTACAGTGTGTTGGGTTGGTGTATATTTCTTGTGCATAATATCTATAGTCTTTTCCTCTTAGATTTAAGTTTACATTCAAATTATATTAATCAACTTTCCATGTCATGTTATATTATTATTACATCATCATTAGACTTTAATTTCAAATCTGCATTGTCCCTTTAGAGCAAATCACAATTCTTACTGATTTTAATTCATATTATAATCCATTTCATAATAATCAATTATAACATATCATTGCTATTGTATTATACTTCAATTTCCTACTTTTTCTATCTAGCCATTGATAAAATAAACCCCATATTTTATAATATTCTTTTTCTTCTTGCTCTCTAATTGCTAATGTTAATCTATTCACCTCTGCACATTCCATTATTTTCCTCCTCTATTGGAATTTTCTCATTTTTCCAATATTTTATTGACCGAACTTTTGAGGTTACTAAATTAAAAGGCGGTCACAAAAACATAATTTTCCTTTTCTCTCTCTCTCTTTGAATTCATCCAGAAATCATGTAACTTAAATCAAAAGATAATCAAACTTCTTTATCGCTCAGTCTAGGCTTGTGACCCTGAATTTTATAATAGATAGTCCTCGACTTACATTTTGTTTAGTGACTGTTTAAAGTTAAAAAAAATGACTTACAACCGTTTTTCACACTTACGACCGTTGCAGCGTCAAATAGGGCAAAATTCACTTAACAAATGTCTCACTTAGCAACATCAATTTGGGGGTCAATTGTGGCTGTAAGTCAAAGACTGCCTGCACAATTAAATGGAAATGAATTTGCAAAACTTTGCTTCATAATTTGAGCGTGTAAGTTTGTGTTGTTGTTCCCGTACTCTTGCACACAATTTATGAAATGTGGGTTTGTGAACACATCGGTGTTTAGACACACCTGCCCATAGTACATACCTGACAGCAGGTGCTGTATGGAGGTAGAATTACGTTTGAGAAATTCTTCGTTGAAACTTTCCAAATCCTTGCTAATAAAAATCTTCTCCATTTCTTGCGTAAGAACCTTGTTCACGATTTCTGGCAAATTACTGTGATTTGACACTAGGAATATAAAGGACAACTTTAATCAGGTGTGCTCTTTGATTTTATTTTTGGGAAACTCAGCGGAATTTTACGGCAAGGGGACAGTTTTATTTTGCACTCACCACACTTGGAAAATTTAATCAAACATTCATGTAGCCAGGGGTTGTTATCGCCAATAGCAAAAGCCCTTTTAATGGACTGCAGCATTAGCAGGAACTTTCCTGGATGAAACAGGAACAAAGAAATTGCAATTTTATTGTTTTAAATAAGGTTAGGCAATTGATATCAATCCCCCACGGAAAGGGGCTTACAACAGGAAAGCAGATCCAGGTTGGTCCATACAGGTAATTGTCAATGTATAATAGTTCTCTAGACAATGTTCAAAGTTACAACAGCACTGAAAAAAGTGATTTATGGCCATTTTTCACACTTACAACCATTGCAGTATTCCCAAGGTCAAATGATTAAAATTCAGACAATTGGCTAATTAGAAAAATGAAGGGTTTTTTGAATCCTTAAAAAATACTATGATCTATGTAATTTATATAGTCCAGTTCAACAAGCAGATAGATGATAGATAGATAGATAGATAGATAGATAGATAGATAGATAGATAGATAGATAGATAGATAGATAGATAGAAGAGGGATAGATAGATGATAGGTAGATATACAGATGGATGATAGATAGAGGTAGATGATAGATATAGAATATAGATAGAAGATAGATATAGAATATAGATATAGTAGATGATAGAATATAAATAGAAAATAGATAGACTATAGAAAGATAAAATATAGATAGAAGATAGATATAGAATATAGATAGATATAGTGGATAGATGATATAGATAGATAGAATAGATAGAATATAGATATAGTAGACAGATGATAGAATATAAATAGAAGATAGATAGATAGATAGATAGATAGATAGATAGATAGATAGATAGAT